TACTCTGTGTACTCTGTGTATTAGTACTCTGTGTGTTAGTACTCTGTGTGTTAGTACTCTGTGTATTAGTACTCTGTGTATTAGTACTCTGTGTACTCTGTGTGTTAGTACTCTGTGTGTTAGTACTCTGTGTATTAGTACTCTGTGTACTCTGTGTGTTAGTACTCTGTGTGTTAGTACTCTGTGTATTAGTACTCTGTGTATTAGTACTCTGTGTACTCTGTGTGTTAGTACTCTGTGTGTTAGTACTCTGTGTATTAGTACTCTGTGTACTCTGTGTGTTAGTACTCTGTGTATTAGTACTCTGTGTACTCTGTGTATTAGTACTCTGTGTGTACCGGAGTGCAGGCCTGGCCCTGTGTGGGGCACAGCTCCAGTTTGCAGTGCAGGTAGATTTCACTGCTTCCTCCAGAGAACTGGAACATGTTGAAGGAGAAAACGCTGGACGTTCCCTGTCCGTTTCCCTGCATCTGCACCGTATCATCAGCAGGGTTCGGACATCTGCCCGGAGACAGGAAATACACAAGATGAAGTCTCAGAGTTTATTTTTTGTATTTGTAAGTCGCTTTGGATAAAAGCGTCTAACAAGTAACATGTAATAAAAAAATGTAAAATGTTGTTCTAACAGTCAGAGTTTATTTTGTTCTAACAGTCAGAGTTTATTTTGTTCTAACAGTCAGAGTTTATTTTGTTCTAACAGTCAGAGTTTGTTTTGTTCTAACAGTCAGAGTTTATTTTGTTCTAACAGTTAGAGTTTATTTTGTTCTAACAGTCAGAGTTTGTTTCCTCACCCGTTGATGATGAGGTCATATCGCAGATTACTGTCAGGTGATGCCTGATTGGTTGCCCAGCAGGAGTCTGTCACCATGGCGACCATGTTGGCGTCCAGCCCCCCCGCCTCCACCTGCAGCCAGACCTTCTGGTTCAGCAGGATCTCCGTGTTCGGGCCGACCGGCTGCAGGAGGCCGGCGTCGCTGAAGGAGCTCATCGTCAGAGTGTAGTTCCACTCTCCAGATACAAGCTGCTGCACCACAGAGCTGCACACACACACACACACACACACACACACACACACACACACACACACACACACACACACACACACACACACACACACACACAGTTTAGCAGTGTGACGCTTGGAGCTGTGGTACATTAAGGACCAGGTGACGCTCACCTGTCTTTGATCCTGAAGGACACACTCCTGACCTCTGGCTGTGTGTACTTGCAGGAGAAGTCGATCTGGATCTGGTCGCTGCGGGTGATGACTCCGTCTGATGAGCTGTTCGAGGACATGATGGAGTTCTTGTAGACGATCTGGCTGTTGTTTCTCTGCAATGTGACAGAAAATTCATTCATTTAACGGCCACATTATTCCAGTGCTCACTGCTGACGGTTCCATCCTGGCAGAGAACGGTCAGTGTTGGAGTTCACAGTCCAAACCATCCAGGTCATAAATCACATGGTCTATAATCAATAAAGGGAACTAGAGGAGATGCTCTCCCAGTATTTAATTAAAGTTAAACAGGGTGACTGAAGCCTGTGCCTTCCCTTCCATCGATCAGAAAGAGGCAGAACAACCTTCCAGCTCTTCTGAGTGCTGCAGGTGTCAATAACCAACTGAACAGGACTCAGTTAAAGCAGCTTTAAATGCTTCTCGTTTGCCCAAAAACGCTCTGAAGATAACCCGCCATGAGTCTAGAGGAAGTGATAACCACGCACCATGACCTCCGTCCCGCAGGGGGCGCTGCTGTCGAAGCTGAAGGTCACCAGGTGGCTCTGGGGGTCCATGTGGCCCTTGCAGCTGGGGTCTTTGAGCTGTAAGGTGGAGAAGTCGATGCCTTTGTCGTCCAGCAGACATCCAGCCAGAACCACAGAGGCCGAGTCCTGCCTGCAGACCGTGGGATCGCCTGCAACACAACGACACTTCAACGACACACCGACACTTCAACGATACACCGACACTTCAACGACACACCGACACTTCAACGACACACCGGCACTTCAACGACACACCGGCACTTCAACGACACACCGACACTTCAACGATACACCGACACTTCAACGATACACCGACACTTCAACGACACACCGGCACTTCAACGACACACCGACACTTCAACATGGACTATAACGGGTAGTGGAGTTACTGACAGAATGTATTTGGCGCTATAATGAAAGCTGTTTCTAATTCCACACTAAACAATATGTTATTTCTGGCAGAGCTCAGCATCAAAACAGCTGTTAGCAGCAGGCTGGTGGTAAATAACCAAATCCCTAATTCAGACCAGTGCAAGCAGAGGAAACGGTGTGATATGCTCCGTACCTAAAGACTTGGTGGCTTTGTACTTGGAGGCGAACAGAGCCCGACAGAAGCAACGGGTCGAACCGTGCTCCTCTCCACAGAACTCATGATCACTGCAGGGCTGCTGACAGAGAGGGGGGGGGGCTGCACACACACACACACACACACACACACACACACACACACACACACACACACACACACACACACACACACACACACACACACACACACACACACACACACACACACACACACACACACACACACACACACACACACACACACACACACACACACACACACACACACACATACACACACACACACACACACACAATGATTTACTTTTAAATTAACTTCATTCATTTATCTGCTTCTTTACTATTTTCCCATTTTATTAGGGAGCCTTGGCTTCTGGTTACTTTTAGGATACATTTGATCAAATATGTCTGCTTGACTGCACGAGTTCCAGTGCAATATCCTCGAATGGAAATAGAGAATCTTACAGCAGCCAGAAGTTGACCTCCAGTCCTCCAGGGTCACGTTGGCTTCCAGGCTGCAGGCCTTGGCGTAAGCCTCCAAAAAGTGGCAGTCGACCCCATCCACTGACGGGTATCTGCACAGAGTGTGTGTGCAGGCGCTGATGTACGGCTCTGGGTCGGTGTGCTCGTGACAGGCGGAGAAGGGAGGCTGCCTCATGAGATTACAGCTGTTCAGAGGGAAGAGTTTTCCGTGTTACATTGGTTGATCTTGCAGAAACAACGCTGCTTATATGACATGACAAGACGAGGGTGTTCATGGCTCAGCTCTTACTGGTCGGTGGAGCGGTTGCAGTTGATGGCGCTGTCGACTGAGTCCTGGTATTGAATCTCACAGCTAGAGGGAGACAAAGATCACATTACATCTGAACCCTAATCCACATTATGACAAATAGGTCATATCAGTCGGACTGAGCGGTACCCAGGGAGGCTGATAGAGGACTTCTCTGCAGTCGGGGTGGTGGTCCAGCTGGAGTTGGAGGGGCTGCCACACAAACCCTCTACAGCTTCAGGAAGTCCTGGTGGATGTGAGGGTAGAATTAAAGCTGTCATTCAGAAATAAATATGTAATATTCAGTCCAGATTGGAAGTACTGTTCTGTACCTGTCACATGTGCGCTGTTGCCATCAAAGAAGAGAGTCATGTTGGAGGACGGGAATTTAGCAGTGACTCCAGTCTGGTCCTTGGAGAGCTCCACGCCGTGCATCAGCTGAGCTGTGCTGCTGAGCACCAGGGCTTCACCACCAACCTACACACACACACACACACACACACACACACACACACACACACACACACACACACACACACACACACACACACACACACACACACACACACACACACACACACACACACACACACACACACACACACACACACACACACACACACACACACACACACACACACACACACAGAGGGTTTGTGATACACCACCACAAAGTAACTCCTAGCAGGAAATGATCAGCATTGCTTGAGCAAACACCCCCATAACTACAACGTGCTAACGTACCCGAACTCTTCCTCCTTGCTCCAGATACATGGTCACACCTGGCAGCGACAGGATCAGGTGGTCCAGAAGAGGAACATCTGTACGCCGGCGCTCCCTGAAAGCGGCCATGAGGTTGAAGCTGGCGCTGCCTTCAGGCTCCATCAGACTGTAGGCACAGCGATCCTGGACAGAGTGCACTGCTCCGTGGAAACCGATCACCGTGGAGCCCGTCACCGTGCACACCACTGGAAGAATAGCGCACCTGATGGACATTCAATTCAAAGGTTTTTATTGTCATATGCACAAAGCTACAGTGTAGAAATGGCGATGACATTCTTCTGACCTGAGCTCCTCCAACGATGCAACATATATAATACAATTAAAAAAGTAGTGCAAAAGGTCTATATACATGTAAATAGAATATGATATGTAAAAGAACAGATGGAGAGGGACTCACAGTCTGGGTCTTTCTAAAGACAGACATACTTTACACTCATCCTAAACTCATAGGAAATGAATCCTTCTCAAAGTTCACAATATGACACAGAAAGGTCAGTAAAGTTACATTCAGCCGGTGAAACACGTACAAATATAATAATATCTCTCTCATAAATACTGGAATACTAAACATCTTGAAGTATTTTATAAAACAGGCCATACAGTGATATTATGTTGCATTATGGGTAATGCTCAACTCTACTTGGGACAACCCGGATATCTGCGGTTTGGTCTGGTTTATGGACGCAACACTACAACACTGATGGAGCTCGCCTCGGAGGATTTACACATGTGTAAAGCATGGAGGATCGGTCAAAGGATCACTTTATAGGAACACTGCACACACACCGAGACGCTGTGCATCCATCTGGATCTCTTTTCATAAAGTGTCCGTCATGAGGCCCACCATGTCAAACAAGTGCAATGGGAAATAAGTGGAGAACGTTCTTTAGGATTTATAGACTGAACCATTCTCCAGCTGATAAGAAACAATAATGGATGGACTTAAAATCCCTTTCCACTGAAATGAGAACCGTGTTAGTTCGGACGGTTGGTTCTCAATGTTGGACCAATGACCTGTTCATTTGACAGCACTGTTTACGTCCCTGCATTTTCCAGACAAGCCAGCTTAGGCAAAAACTACAACAATGGCGGGCTGCATTGGAGCTGTGCTCTCGTTGCTCTTCTTCAGATCCAGGTTGAACTGTTCCCACTAGGATTCAGAGGCATTCACCGTTGCTTTAGTGACAGTCAGTAATTCACTGCTGACTGTCACTAAAGCAACAGATGCAGATTTCCCCAGTGATTCATATTTTGTTCAGTTTTAATGTACAATGTTTGACGTTAACTGCCAAACGTTTCCCTGTATCATATGGATGATGTTAGCATAGCCAGTCTGAAGAAGCAATAACCAGATTAAGAGCCAACAAACTAAATTAAACTTATTTAAAATATATAACACATGATATGAACATTAGATGGTTACGGCGTTTTAATTATTCACCATAAATGCTTTGTATGAGTACATGTTGCTATCATTGAGTCATTTTCCGTTTTCTACCGGCGCTCTTTCAATAGGATTTCACTTGTGATCTGATCTGAAAACTTGTGTAGCCTACAGTATGTAGTGATCACACCTGAAAGCTGGTATGAAAACAACAGGAGAACGGGTCGTGCTGCTCCTCAAAACGGGCCGTGAGAGCGAACGTATCTCTACGGCTCTAGTGATCTGACCCAGCCTCCACACAGATCTGGTTCTTGGTTCCAGTTCAGCAGTGCTCTGGTTCCTAACACCAACCAGTTTTGCTCATGGAAACAATGAAAGGACTGGTGAGCTATCGGGCACTAGCTCTGAACTGACCCTGGAACTGCTTTGGTGGAAAGGGGTAATAGAAATAGGAACAGATTCATCAATAACTGCAATAATCCTCAGGTGGATAATATCCTCACTCTCTCATGGAGGGTTCGATCACATGGGACACTTTATTCAAATCAGTCAGACCTTTATTCCTGATATAAAGAGCACATATTTACGTGTTGTCCGCTTGGCAAACCTCCTCGGGCCCACATGCAGTGACATTAGAGAGGACTGCAGACAGAGAACAGACTCCAGTAGAGCAGGGCCCTAAGTTGGGCATCTCTGAACCCGGCATTACAGCGCCACCTTGGAGGAGAATGGAGGTAATGATATTACACTTCAGTAACTACAGGCAGAATTTAAGATAGGGAAACAACAGACATGTTTTAATATCACATTTAACTTAGAGGATCCCTTTCTTTGGGAACCCCCAGACCAGCTTACCTGAGCCTCTGCATCCACTCAGGTCTCGAAGAGTAGATGTTCCTGCAGGAGGCTCCCAGGTATCCATCACTGTGCCACCGACTGTTGTAGAAATGTTCTAGTAAAGGATTAAACAGAATGTATTTGTATGCATATTATTTATTTAACAGGGACATTGCACACTAAGAACCATCTCTGTAAATGTGCCAGAGTTAGCCAAGAGGCTCTTTTACAGCTGTAGTCCCTGGACAGATGTTTGAACCTTAAAAACACATTTAAAATATCAAGTAAATACAATGAGTGAAAACAAAGGTAACCTCAACACTGTACACATGAATGAAAGTGTTCTATAGATGCCACTTCTGATATATTTCCTCCGATGTTAGGACATGAAGTAACAGTGAGAGCAGTGGTGAGCTCCTTCATTATTCCAGATTGATATTTCTAATGAACTCCTTTGTCCACTTGAGGGCAGGAAGGAGCAGAACCACCAGCCCCTGGTGCTGTGAGTCCAGCCTGCCCCCGTTAGCTCTGCATGCTAGCAGCTACATGTGTCACTGATAAGAACTCTCTTTGTCTTCAGACACATGATGCTGAGTGACTTCTGCTTCCTGAAACTCTAAGGCTGTGGATGACATTATTTCTGACACCTATCTCTGTTTAGAAGTGAAAATAAGAAGAGAGTTTTCAAAGGAGAGGCTTAGAGGAGCAAACAGACTGCACTTGATCTTCTCCATTCACCTATCCATGCTGAACTGAAAGCTGGTTCTGTATTCATATGAATGATGTCTGATAGTGATACAAAGGAATAATGGATCACACACAGCCTCAGTTCTCATTTCTCAGGGTGGTTAGGGTACAGAAGTCTTCTCAGGGATCAGTTCTCATTCAGAGTGAGTGTGAGGAAGGCTGGAAGACAGCAGCTTTCTAACAGAAAGCATTTAGGATATGAGTTTCCCTGGCACACAGAAACAAACAGGACAACATTGCATTGGTATCGGGACCTGACAAATGGTAACTCTAAACATCGGTGAGGCTGAAGGGTTAGGGTTAGGTAACAGCCTCATGTCATACTTACTAAACTAGCAGAAAACGGAAGGCCAGCAGGATGCCTTGTATAGCAAGCAGCTTGCAAACCATAATTGGAGAATCGGCAAAGCATCTGAAAGCAGGAACAGAGAGAGAAATATTAGGAACTGCTTCAAACATTTTACAAATAAACTTTGATTTGAAGTTGTCTTTGCCACACAATGTCTTTGAAATGTTCATTTTGTACAAACAGCTGGACAGCCAGTCAGTGTGTAACAGGGATCGGATCAGGACTCACATTAAATGTAGAACCACTGAAGAACTGTAAATAAAAGACACCCTGTGCCTGGGTTTTGATGTTAACAAGAGAAGAGTCAGGGGGAAATGATCCAGGTTGTATACTGTATTTCAATTTGTTTGAAGCCACCCCGTCGTTGGTCACCACACAGTCAATGTCGTCCTCAGATGGGTCATTTTTTAAACAAACTTCAACCTTATTGCCCATCTTCACCTGCAAAAACAAAAAAAGGAACTACAATATGAAGGCTTTCGCTCCAGAACAGCATCGTCTCATCTCCTCAAATGTCTGAGCTGCAAGGTGTGCTTTGAGCTACGGAGAAAAAGGATCGGATCAATTATGAGATCAAAACATTTCTCTCACTTTGGAAAAAACCTTTCTACAAGCCACTGTCCAACAAGTCTTTATGTCTCCTTTCATACAGAGACACATGTGGAATCAAAGAGACGCGTCCAGCTGCTCCAAACCACTTCCTGTTGGCTCTAGTAATGATCTGTCCCCACTCCATTGAACTGATCTGATCAGTGCCTGACCCCATAGACCCCCATAGACCCCATAGACCCCAGAGACCCCATAGACCGCATAGACCCCATAGACCTCATAGACCCCATAGACCCCATAGACCCCATAGACCCCAGAGACCCCATAGACCGCATAGACCCCATAGACCTCATAGACCCCATAGACCCCATAGACCGCATAGACCCCATAGACCCCATAGACCCCAGAGACCCCATAGACCCCATAGACCCCCATAGACCCCATAGACCTCCATAGACCCCATAGACCCCATAGACCCCAGAGACCCCATAGACCCCATAGACCCCCATAGACCCCATAGACCCCATAGACCCAGAGACCCCATAGACCCCCATAGACCCCATAGACCCCATAGACCCCATAGACCCCATAGACCCCCATAGACCCCAGAGACCCCCATAGACCCCATAGACCCCCATAGACCCCATAGACCCCATAGACCCATAGACCCCATAGACCTCCATAGACCCCATAGACCCCCAGAGACCCCATAGACCCCATAGACCCCAGAGGGAAATGTTACGCTCACTTTCCAGCTCCGGACCAGACTCACAGTGATGCATTCTGGGACCAAGCCTGTCTCAGTGCGTCTGATATTGAATAATATGAGGGGAAACTTTTATAATACCCAAAATAACAGCTGGCACAAAAAGCACACACTTTAAACTTTGTGTGTAATACTCAATTCATTCATTGCCTTTAGCAACATGTCATTATTCATTTGCTCCCATATTTACAGGCTGACACGCTGAAAGGTAACAAACCGCTTACATCTATATATAAATAAGATCAAGACACACACTAGTGACTGATTCTGAGGACTGTGAGTTGTACTATTAAACAGTGAGTTAGTACATATTAAACAGTGAGTTAGTACATATTAAACAGTGAGTTAGTACATATTAAACAGTGAGTTAGTACATATTAAACAGTGAGTTAGTACATATTAAACAGTGAGTTAGTACATATTAAACAGTGAGTTAGTACATATAAACAGTGAGTTAGTACATATTAAACAGTGAGTTAGTACATATTAAACAGTGAGTAGTACATATTAAACAGTGAGTTAGTACATATTAAACAGTGAGTTAGTACATATTAAACAGTGAGTTAGTACATATTAAACAGTGAGTTAAACTATTAAACAGTGAGTTAGTACATATTAAACAGTGAGTTAGTACATATTAAACTATGAGTTAGTACATATTAAACTGTGAGTTAGTACATATTAAACAGTGAGTTAGTACATATTAAACAGTGAGTTAGTACATATTAAACAGTGAGTTAGTACATATTAAACAGTGAGTTAGTACATATTAAACAGTGAGTTAGTACATATTAACAGTGAGTTAGTACATATTAAACAGTGAGTTAGTACATATTAAACAGTGAGTTAGTACATATTAAACAGTGAAGTTAGTACATATTAAACGTGAGTTAAGTACATATTAAACAGTGAGTTATAACATATTAAACAGTGAGTTATAACATATTAAAACAGTGAGTTAGTACATATTAAACAGTGAGGTTAGTACATATTAAACAGTGAGTTATAACATATTAAACAGTGAGTTAGTACATATTAAACAGTGAGTTAGTACATATTAAACAGTGAGTTATAACATATTAAACAGTGAGTTATAACATATTAAACAGTGAGTTAGTACATATTAAACAGTGAGTTAGTACATATTAAACAGTGAGTTAGTACATATTAAACTGTGAGTTAGTACATATTAAAACAGTGAGTTAGTACATATTAAACAGTGAGTTAGTACATATTAAACAGTGAGTTAGTACATATTAAACAGTGAGTTAGTACATATTAAACAGTGAGTTAGTACATATTAAACAGTGAGTTAGTACATATTAAACAGTGAGTTAGTACATATTAAACAGTGAGTTAGTACATATTAAACAGTGAGTTAGTACATATTAAACAGTGAGTTAGTACATATTAAACAGTGAGTTATAACATATTAAACAGTGAGTTAGTACATATTAAACAGTGAGTTAGTACATATTAAACAGTGAGTTAGTACATATTAAACAGTGAGTTAGTACATATTAAACAGTGAGTTAGTACAGAAACACAGGCAGGGGTTCATTGTACTCACGTGTACCCATGTGTATGTTTTTCCATAGAAAGTGATGGGAACGGTGCTGATGTCGATGTGTCCACCAGGAGCATTCAGAGTACCTCTCTGAGAGGCAGAGAGCTCCATCTGGCTGGCAGCAACTGCAGGAGTTCCAGGAGAAACACATCCATCAAGAACAACCTGAACACTCATCGTTCCCTGAAGTCTCTCCTCTGACTTGAAGTGACACTCATCAGTGCAATGAGTGAATAATGATATACTTATGTATTCTGTAAAACATGTGCTCCTTCATGGTGAATGTATACAGGGTATCTGGGTTCTGTTTCATTCATAAATACAAGTGGTTGAAGGCTAACCCCCTCATTAACTGAAGCCATCAACATGTTGAATAAGAGCTACCCGTTCACATTTATATTGATTTCATGGATGAGCTCATGTTTTAAAAGTCTATCATTCAAACATTATCTTGTTTTATTTGCACAAAGAAGACAGTAGAGTAGTGCGGGGCTATTACACACTCGCAGTGACTCTATGCACAGAGGACTTGACTTTGAAATGCATTCATAATGCCTTTCAAACACATGTTGTTTGTCACAGTGAAGCCTGCGATGCTGCTTACCTGCCAGCAGGAGGAGCAGCTTCATGACTCTGCACAGAGGAAGAGGCACAAACACCGGGTTAACGCACGATAACACACATTAACAGCGTACACAATGAAGGGTCCTCGGCAGGAAGTGGTTCATACACTTCCTGAAGATTCAAAACAATGTTCTCTAAACCCGTCAAATGCTCCCTGACTGATTCCCTGATGTCACCAGTTTAGTGATGCAAAGAGGCTGTGAGCAAAACTGAGACATTGAGATAAGAAGACGTACTGGTGGTTTTTAACTGAACACATATCTGGAAATCAGTGGAGACTCACCGTCTGGAGGTCATGGAGGTCCGGGGCAGCTGATACTTCTGTTTAGGTCCTGGTCCTGGTCCTGGAAGTCCGGGGCAGCTCTGATGTGGCGCTGTGTCTCGCTCCGTCTGTTTTTATGCAGGTCTGCTCATCCAGCCCCTAAAGACTGATGCAAACATTCCTGAAAACTTCTCAGTCCGGTTATACGTGTCTTTGACATTGTTTCCTTTGTTTTCCCTATACGCAAATATACACTATGTCTTTGTGTGTGTGTGTGTGTGTGTGTGTGTGTGTGTGTGTGTGTGTGTGTGTGTGTGTGTGTGTGTGTTAACATGAACTCAGGTTTATTTCATCCTCTCACGCATGTTCTGCACTCCAACATGTGACACCATGTGGGGTGGGGGACACACACATGTTTCCTGTGTTTTCTCTATATAATAATAATAGATTTATTTTGTTAGCGCTTTTACAGGTGCTCAAAGACGCTTTACAGATATAGTGAAGAAAAGAAACAAATAGTCAATAAAGACAAACACATTTCTTTGAACAACATTCATGTATTTTTCTCAAAAAATAAAACAATATTAACCACCGACAGATCCAGATGAGCTTTTGGTTTCTCCATCATGCAGCCCCAGGAGAATGAACAAATACATTGAAAATAAAGAAATAGAATAAATAGAAAATGTTTGTGATGCATGTATATATACATTATTGTGTTCGAACACAGCAAGGAAGCTTAAAGGAAACTATTCTCCCGACCAAAAGAAAGGCTTATTGGGCCAAATGGCAAAGAAAGGCTTATTGGGCCAAATGGCAAAGAAAGGCTTATTGGGCCAAATGGTAAAGAAAGGCTTATTGGGCCAAATGGCAAAGAAAGGCTTATTGGGCCAAATGGCAAAGAAAGGCTTATTCTTGTAACTCATTCATAGTAAACAATTAACAGAAATGTCAACGCCGAAAAAAAGGAAATGTTCTTGCAAATCCATGATTGAAATAGTAAACCTGCTAATATGAAAGAGCACTTTAATACAAGAAAGCAATGGCATTGCTTTGGAAAAATACATGAAAGTATAATAATGGCCTGGTTTCTCACCACATATGCAGTAAAAGAAAGTATTACAAATAAAAACAAGAACTGACATTTTGAAATAGCGCAATTAGATAAAGACAATTCTGCAAATCTGACACTTTGATGCAAGTGGTACATCCACTGGCAAGTCTAGCTCCATTAACGATTTCTGGAGCACTTCAAACGTGCACTTCAGTTTAGGGGGTAGTTCAGGTTCATTGCATACATTAGTCCAAATAACATGGTAGCAGCTAATGCAATGTTGTCCACATCAGTTAGTACCTGTTGGCCTTCCAGGACAATCTGTCCTCTGGTCTCATCTGTCCTCTGGTCTCATCTGTCCTCTAGTCTCATCTGTCCTCTGGTCTCATCTGTCCTCTGGTCTCATCAGTCCTCTGGTCTCATCTGTCCTCTGGTCTCATCTGTCCTCTGGTCTCATCTGTCCTCTGGTCTCATCTGTCCTCTGGTCTCATCAGTCCTCTGGTCTCATCAGTCCTCTGGTCTCATCTGTCCTCTGGTCTCATCTGTCCTCTGGTCTCATCTGTCCTCTGGTCTCATCTGTCCTCTGGTCTCATCTGTCCTCTGGTCTCATCTGTCCTCTGGTCTCATCTGTCCTCTGGTCTCATCAGTCCTCTGGTCTCATCAGTCCTCTGGTCTCATCTGTCCTCTGGTCTCATCTGTCCTCTGGTCTCATCTGTCCTCTGGTCTCATCTGTCCTCTGGTCTCCTCTGTCCTCTGGTCTCATCTGTCCTCTGGTCTCATCTGTCCTCTGGTCTCCTCTGTCCTCTGGTCTCATCTGTCCTCTGGTCTCATCAGTCCTCTGGTCTCATCTGTCCTCTGGTCTCATCTGTCCTCTGGTCTCCTCTGTCCTCTGGTCTCATCTGTCCTCTGGTCTCATCAGTCCTCTGGTCTCATCTGTCCTCTGGTCTAATCTGTCCTCTGGTCTCATCAGTCCTCTGGTCTCATCTGTCCTCTGGTCTCATCAGTCCTCTGGTCTCATCTGTCCTCTGGTCTCATCTGTCCTCTGGTCTCATCTGTCCTCTGGTCTCATCTGTCCTCTGGTCTCATCAGTCCTCTGGTCTCATGGTGGAATTGTGTTTGACAACATGAAGTCCCACTGTAATCCCCTGAATGGACCGCAGAATGACGTCTTCATCTTCTGCCTGCAGAGTGCACAGTCTGCCTGCAGAGTGCACAGTCTGCCTGCAGAGTGCACAGTCTGCCTGCAGAGTGCACAGTCTGCCTGCAGAGTGCACAGTCTGCCTGCAGAGTGCACAGTCACAAAAGGAACAGAGTGAGATCTAACAAATCAATACATATATATATATACCCATTGTGTTTAACAAGTACATTTGGTCAGATTTCAGTACTTTGAAGCCTCCTTGTTATCTGGAGGCTTCAAAACAAAAACGGAGTGAGAGGAAAACTTCTCAGTCCGGTTATACGTGTCTTTGACATTGTTTCCTGTGCGTTCCCTATATGCAAATATACACTATGTCTTTGTGTGTGTGTGTGTGTGTGTGTGTGTGTGTGTGTGTGTGTGTGTGTGTGAACATGAACTCAGGTTTATTTCATCCTCTCACGCATGTTCTGCACTCCAACATGTGACACCATGTGGGGTGGGGGACACACACATGTTTCCTGTGTTTTCTCTTTATAATAATAATAATAATTAATTTTGTTAGCGCTTTTACAGGTGCTCAAAGACGCTTTACAGATATAGTGAAGAAAAGAAACAAATAGTCAATAAAGACAAACACATTTCTTTGAACAACATTCATGTATTTTTCTCAAAAAATAAAACAATATTAACCACCGACAGATCCAGATGAGCTGTTGGTTTCTCCATCATGCAGCCCCAGGAGAATGAACAAATACATTGAAAATAAAGAAATAGAATAAATAGAAAATGTTTGTGATGCATGTATATATACATTATTGTGTTAGAACCATAGACTGTATATATAAATGGACGTAGGGTCCGTGACGTCACCCATAGGATTCTGCAGAGTTGCCGAGAAGCCCTTAGTAGGCGGAGTCGGCCACTAACGGCTCGACAGTGACGTCTGCTCCTGCTCCAGCCTGCTCCAAATAAGGGCAAAGAGGCGGAGCCGAGGCGGGACCTGCTGCCTCCAGCTAGGAAGTAACAGAGCTAGCTCAAGCTAAGAAGCTAAGCTAACATGCTTCCCCATCTGCACACTGCCGTCACATTTTACGTTTCTAAGGTAAGCCGACATGAGACTATTCAGCAAAACTATAAATAATAATCTAAGTTATTGAGATTTTAGCATAATACTTCAGAATCTTAAAATCCCTTAACGTTTGTATGCAATGTGCTAAATGCAACACTGGAATCAAGCAAATTAATATGTTTGCATGACATTAGTTATTTATATTTTGCTATCACTTAATTATACGTTTAATACATTTAAGTCAAGCTAAGGTACAGTACATGTGATGGTAGCTAGTTAGTGCTCTTACCTGTGAGGCCTCCTCCAAACAGCATTATAACCAGACTGTATCATTAAAACTATAAGTACCAGTTCTAGATCCTTGACTTTAGACAAACAATTCAAAAGACAAAATGTATTTAAAGACCAATCTTTATTTGAAGGTGCCTCTTAACCTGAGATATTAGTTATACAGTAATAGTATTGACAATCTAAAAAAACTGAGCAACTCAACAGTCAACTTTATATTTCTTATTGTCTAAAGCATTTATTATTTTCATTTTCCCCCTCTCATATTCAGTGTGGACGGATTGAGACAGCGTGGTGTCCAGAGAGCTGCAGAGACTTCAGGGAGAAACCTCCGTGTGATGGACGTCCAGTCTGTTGGTTTGGCCGGAGAGGACTGAGGGTCGAGGAGGACCAGGCCTGATGGAGGAGCCCATGCTGGGCATAGCTGATACCAACTGCACAGGCCTTGTCTGTCACTTTATTTGACTAAATGTGTTTACTTATACATTTAATAGGTTTACACCTTCTGTCCATATGTGCTTTTTTATTTAAAACATGTTTGATTAACTTTTGGTTCAGATTTCAATAAATTGAATTTGTATTTGCACTCCTTCTGTCCATTATTCTTACTGAAAATGTTAGATTACACATTCACATCTGACTGAAGATTGGCCCCATTTATTTGTGACATTGCAAACTCTGCGGTACAAGGTACATGTTGTGAAGCTCATAAAGTGAGGCAAATAGAAATAATCAGCTGATGGAGTGTAGATGTGGAAATAGGTGCATTCGATCAGCTGACTTCACAATAAAAGTAGTTTCTTAGTGAATGTCCTGTACTGGTCTTAAAATCTCATAACATCAGCTTTTAATTTTCCTCTTGGATGTTCTTCTTGACCCTCGGAGAAGGAGGAGATGCTGAGTCGTGTCTTTCAGGCATGTCCTTTCCTAACAAAAATTACAGGAAACATAAAACCAGGGATGCAAACTCATCAGGTATGAAAAAGGTGATAAGGATCCGAGCCCCCCGACCCCACGGAATATCGGCTTTAAAATGAGGAATAACAGGATGTTAGCAGTCAGAACAACGAAAGCAGCAGTTAATAATAACAGAAACGCCAAAGAGTCACATCTAATAGAAATATATTTAAGCATTTATTTTAATTGTGTAGCAGTCAGTTTATAATTTTGGCAGCACTGTTGAGCATTTTGAAAATGTATTTTCATGCCTCTGTGCAAGGCTGTCTTTCTATCTTTATAGCCAGTGGTGTAAAGTAACTAAGTTCATAAACTCAAGTACTATACTTGGGTACAATTTTTAGATACTTGTACTTTATTTAAGTATTTCAATGTTTTGCTACTGTGTACTTCTACTCCACTACAGTTCAGAGGTACATGGTGTACTTTTCCTCCACTACATGTATTGAATACCTTTAGTTACTTCACAGATGTGGATGAATGATGTGAAATATAATCAAGTGTTAAATCAGACTTTAGTTCAACCTGGAGTAAATCCACAAGCTA